CCCTTGAGATCTATGCAAGTTGTTGTGTGTATCAATAATTCACTGGTTTTTATTGCTGAGTAGTATTCCCTGGTATAAATGTATCACAATTTAACTGTTAATTCACTGAAGGACATTTGGGTTGTTTCCAGTGTTTGGCTATTACAAACAGATTACTTTGAACATCAGTGCACAGAATATTTACATGAACATAAATTTTCATTTATTTGGGATAAGTACCCCAAAGTGCAGATGTTGTATCCTACGATAAGTGCATGCTTAATTCTAAAAGAAACTACCAAACTATTGTCTAGAGCTGCTGTACCACATTCCCACCACCAGCAGGATCTATAATTATATTTGCTAATCTGACAACCCTAATTAGTAATATTAATGATCAAAATTTTCTGATTCCCTTTGGCATTTCCTGGAACACTTACCTTCTTCCTATTGGCAGCATTATTCTCTTTCACCTCCCTCTGAACCATGGCAGCTGCTTGGGGCCCCGTGATTCTGGAACTCAACTCCTCCAGCTAGTTAACAACTCAGTTGGTATGGGATGGATTAATCTCTTGGCCATGGCTTGATTTTGAGTTCCAGTTTTTCTTTTATGCTTCAGGCACCAGGCAGAGTAGAAAAAGATGAAATCCTCTTTCTAATTTGCATACAAGCCTTTTCATAGCACTTATAACAAGAGCATTTATTATTTCTGAGTTTGTTTTTTTTGTTTAAGATTTTATTTATTTAATTGACAGAGAGAGACAGGGACAGCGAGAGAGGTAACACAAGCAGGGGGAGAAGCAGGCCTCCCGCAGAGCAGGGAGCCTGATGCGGGGCTCGATCCCAGGACCCCAGGATCATAACCTGAGCCGAAGGCAGTCGCTTAACCAACTGAGCCACCCAGGTGCTCCAGTTTTTGAGTTTGTATGCTGGACTGTATGTTCCTAAATGTAAGCGATTAAGTGTTTAATAGTGTCTTAACAGGTCAGTTCCTCCCAGAATAAGATCCTAAGACAAAGATTTGGGTGCAAGTAATTTTAAGCGAGAGCTCCCAGGAGCAAAGTAAGAGTGTGGAAAAGCAGGGCAGACAAGGGGAAGAAATCAAGGACGAGTACAGCATCAAGTGAAGCCCCAACCTCAGTCTGATTCTGAGGGAAGCTCGGCATGATATCATTACATCACAGAGTTTACCCTATGTCCAAGCAGAGGAGCTGGGCCTTTGTACTTCATACTAGTCATTAGCTAAAAAATGTGGTAATGTGGGGCGGGGGGAGCAAAAAACTCCCAGGCATTTCTAGCTCAGTATTGGCAAAGTGGCTTCATTGCTCAAAGGGAATCCTCCGAAGATCTGGACTGTGAGCTCTTAACAGCAAAGTGTGCAGAAGCTAGAGGATGGTTCCTAGTGCTGATAATGTGGATCTATCAAAGGAGAGCTGAGCAGGTACCAACAGTATCCACTAAATTCTAGTGTCTTCCCCATATTGTCATTAAATAAAGAAATGGAATCCCTCAGAATTATAAAGCACTTTATAGTTTACAGAGTTGTGTTTTTTTTTTTAAATCACATTGTAACTGATCTTCAGAAAAATTTTATAAGGAGAGAAGAGCAATATCACTATCCTGATTTTTCAAAAGTCAAATAAATCAGACATTAAGTGACTTTTCTAACATCTTCAGATTCCAAGCCTAGAATTGATTCCAGCATGCTGCATCATATTTAAGGGTTTTATAAATATCTTATATAGACATAGGGAATGCATATAAATATGATTTATTTAACCTGAGTAAGTAGCATGATGACTTCTATAATTTAAAAAGTACAGGAAATATTATAACGAATGATATACTTTTCGTTTTTAAAATGATTTCCATTTACGTTATTTAACACTACATAGAATAATTGGGTTAAGTGGCAAGCTCCATATTAGATGTCTGCACAGTTTAATTCCTACCATCATTCAAGGCTTCTCTCTGTGTTTCATTCTTCAGATGATTTAATTAAAGCCACTGTTAAAAAAAAAATATTAAAAGGTTCCTGGAGCACTGCAAGAGGTTAATTCATTTAGAATGTACTTGGAGTTCTTCCATAATTTTCCCATGTGGGCCTATTTACATATAATACTTACGACTCATGGCATTTCTGCTGAAAAATGAATATTCTTCCATAAATATTTCTAGTAACTCTTACAGTCTGTTACTGACACATCACACACTTCCTTCTAGTTCAAGAATCACTTACCAGTAAAGAGTTTACTTTTGTTTCCCTGTTTCTGCGAACTCTAGACCACTCACTAATGGAGAATCTCTCAGTGATACGATAAATTCAGGGAGCAGGAGAACAGGAGTTTACCCCATGGATTAACTCAGAACTAAATAGCTACTATTGTGTTAACTCTCCTCCTGTCACCTTGAACCCTTTATCCCTTCTGGAGGATCTAAAACAGTGCTTTTCAAACCTGGTGACACATTAAAGTCTCCTGGGGAGCTTTCAAATGCACAGATGCCCTGGCTTTGCCCCAGACCAATTAAATCAGACTTGTAGGCACTGGTCTGTGGAAAGCCCCTGTGTGATTTTTTTCACGCAGCCAAGGTTGAATACACTGATCTGAAACGGAAGCAATGTGACAGGTCCATTGGTGTCAAGAATAGATTTGACTGTGTCCCACATCTTTTTTTTTTTTTAAAGATTTTATTTATCCATCTGACACAGAGAGAGAGACAGCGAGAGCAGGAACACAAGCAGGGGGAGTGGGAGAGGGAGAAGCAGGCTTCCCGCCGAGCAGGGAGCCTGATGTGGGACTCGATCCCAGGACCCTGGGATCATGACCTGAGCCAAAGGCAGACGCTCAACGACTGAGCCACCCAGGCGCCCAACTGTGTCCCACATCTTAGAAGCAGGGTTTCAATTCCTTTTAAGCTGAGAATTTCTCCATTTATTTTGGTCTTTTTTGAAGGCCTGGTTACCAACTTGAGGTCATGCCTGGGCAAACCAAAGTGCCCGATGATACCGTCTGTAGGCCGTCATAGGGTTGTTTGGGATAGTTTGAGTACGTAAGAAAAAGGAACTGTTGTATCTTACAGAATCTGAGAACTGAAACTTTTTTTACCCTAATGCTTCTGAGCCTCACTCTCTCTCCTCCGTGAGCTCACGAGAAAGCGGACCAGCAGTTAGCACCTGTGTTTTCAGGTCACTTTTTGTACCTGCCCCCGCTATCCCCTGACTTGTTACTGTTTTCTTACTCTGTTTCTTAGACTGCCATACAAGGAATCATCTGTGATGCTTTTAGAAATATAATTCCCTTAACCCTACCTTGAAGTGCTGATTTTTTAGACCAGGGCATCTGCGTTGTTATATTTTAACCTGATCCCGGGGTAGTTCTCACACTGGTAATAGAGAGAGCCCATTCTGAAAAAACAAAACTCTGATTTCCTTAGTCGTTATTATTGTTATTTTTCCAAGAATGAAGGAAGGAATAAAATGTGATATAAGAAGATACTCTGACATTACTATTTTGCTCCTTTCCATTCTGTGAGTTAACATAAAAAAATTCTACTTATTTACTTCATATAAAGTGCATACACACACACACACACACGTATTTATATAAGGAGTGATGAATTTTTAACTCATTCTGGTGTTATAATTGGTACTATGTGGACAAAGTCTGGGAAATCATATACACTTATTGCATTTAATGATTATTGGCTATTATTATATAGAAAATATTTTATAGAATAAAATATCCATACTTCAATTCTAATTAGTCTTACATGTTTCATGAGATTGGTCTTCTGTTTAGGAGGTCTTATATCTCTCCAGGGTAGAGGGTCTATTACAACATGGTAATTATTATGAAACTTTTTCTCTTTTGGGGGTGGGGTAGATAGGTCAGGTATTAGCTAAAAACCTTCAGGGATATTTTAAAATTTAGTAAAGTCGTAGATCCGTGTTTTATTTTTAAATGTAGTTTAGCTTATAGCTCTTAGATGGAGTAATTAGTTTTTAAAAAGTTTGTATTTTAAAAGGCTATGTACTTATAAGAGTGTCATAATTGGAAAACAAAGAAAATGCTTATTTGAAATTATGAACTGTATTAAATCATATTAATATCTTAAAATATACCATGACATTTAAATCACGTAACAAATAAAAAACACTTATATGCTTTGAATTTACAGATAAATTAATAATTTATATATTATTAATACATTTTAAATCTTAAATTTTTAAGTCAACTTTATTCCTTTTCTTCTAACGTAATGAAAGTAGCTTTAGTTTTCTTTCCCGTAAAAATCTTCAAATAAAATATTTAGGGGGTGCCTGAGTGGCTCAGTCGGTTAAGCGTCTGCCTTCGGCTCAGGTCATGATCCTGGGATCTTGGGATAGAGCCCCTGTCAGGCTCCCTGCTCAGTGGATAAGCCTCTTCTCCCTCTCCCTCTGCCCCTCCCACCCACTCATGCATGTGCTCTCTCTCTCTCTCTCTCTCTCTCTCTCTCAGATGAGTAAATAAAATCTTTAAAAATGAATAAAAATAAATAAATAAATAACGATATTTAGGAAAAAAGATTTTTAAAAAAATCTTTGAATAATAGGAATTGTATGTGGTTAAGTAATATACTTACATTCTCATATAAAATAATATAAATTAATAAATCTTCTGCTTAATTAGGATTTGGGTTTGCATTACTACCATACCATGTGTATTCTGTTGTTGTTGTTGTTTTAAAGATTTTATTTATTTGAGAGAGAGAGGGGGAGTGATCACAAGGTGGGTGAGGGTTAGGGGCAGTCGGAGAGGGAGAAGCAGGCTCCCCACTGAGCACGAGCACGGAGCCTGACGCAGGACTCCATCCCAGGACCCTGGGATCATGACCTAAGCCAAAGGCGGACGCTTAACCAACTGAGCCACCTGGGCACCCCTATTTTTGAGTTTGTATACTGTTATGCCATGTTACAGTTCAAAATGATTTGATGATGTACGGTGTGGTGAAGGCTGTATCTGACAAATTGCCATTTTCAGTTTCTTGGCAGTACGGAAGTGGAGCAGCCTAAAGGAACAGAAGTTGTGAGAGATGCTGTCAGGAAACTCAAGGTAGGCAAAGCCCTCCAAAGCAATGTCTAGTGTATCGATCCTGTCTTAAGTCATCAGTAGATGGATGTATATTCAAAGCATGAATAGCTTTGTGGCAGGTAATAGCTTTGTCCTGTTAAAGATGAATAAATATCACCAGATCAGGGAAACGTATTTAAAAACAAATATGAATCCACAATTATTTTTCTGAATGTGGCACATTCTTCCTATTCGTCCATAATTTCTCATGCTCAACAACAACAAAAAATGGCAGTGTTCCCTATGTGTTGACATTCAGTAGCTTGCCTTTACTTTGCTTGGACAATGTGAACTCATGCCCTGACCCAGAAACTAGGAATGGCGTACCAACTAGCTCTAAAAGGAGATCACATCCACCAGTGGAAAGTGTAGAATTAGGATTGATTCCAAGCAGAATTTTGCAGTGACACCGTATGTTAAAGATGTCCTAATGCCCCAATCCCAGAGTATGTGGCTTTGTCCCTGAACGGACATGGGGAACTGGTGAGACCAAGAGAGCAGAAGAGACATTAAATCAGCAACTCCATACTCATAATCACGTTTCCTGAGAAAATTTTCTGTAAGATGCCACATATCTTAGCATGTTTTTCTAAGTCCACCCCATCCCAGAAGACATGAGATATTAAGATGTGAAAAATTCCTTCAACAAAATTCTCATCTTTATCTCATTAAGAAAATCTAATAAACCACTACTTTTTTTTTTTTTTACACAATTCATTGTTATTCTCTGTAGTTATTCTCACAGTTTTTTTCAAAATAACCCTTCTCTAACTTTAGTTTAGAGATCATCCAGTTATTTTAGAAGAGGGTTAGGTCTTTGATTGTGCCTGGCAAAGTCCTAGACATGAAAAAATATCTTTCTGCTTTGAGAATGTCATATCAGGTGGAATCTACTGAGTATTTAAATTGAAGAAGAGTTTAAGTGGGATGGCGTGTATTCTGGGGGAAGAAAGTAAAATGGATAATATGTTTATCTACCCATTTTACATGTAAATAATTTACCAATGCTTTCAAGTAAATATGCTAAAAGTTTTCAAGATGATATCTCTCCCATTTGGGAAAAAAGTGGAGTAGGCAATCATTTCTTTCCACTGCTCATTAGGTAATAATTCACACTTGCCCTTGTTTGGTCAGTATTTTTAAGCACTAACAGAAGATTAAAAAGGCCTCACAGTTTATGAACCACATTTAAGATTCTCTTTAAATGTTCAAAATATTTCAAACTCGGCATGAGTCCAGCTTCACTACAATCAGTATTTTTTATAGAAGAATAATGGTATTTATACTTAATGTGTCTTTATGTCTAGAAGGTTCTTTATTGGGTCAACTCAGATCCCAAACCAAAAGGATTAAATTACATTATGACCAGGTAAAATGTAGAGGTATTTGAAATGAAATGCTTTTAAACAGTGGCTAGTTCTCATACATTTTGGAGAGACTCTATTTGCAGTTCCTATGTCATTTTATATTTGGAAATGTACTCTGTTAATAAAGGAGTGTGATTTACAGTAAGTATGCAGTATAGTTTAAAAATGCATGTTCACTTGATAATTGTTGTTCAAGTTTTTTCCAGAATAAATGTTTATCTAATAAGCAATCTTTATGCTGCTAATTGCAAAAATTTTGTAGGTAGGAAAGTGTTTTTAAGGGTAATGATTTATAAACAAATTAAAATAAACAGTGTTTTTTTGTCTAATTATATATATATATATATATATATATTTTTTTTTTTTTTTTTTTTTTTTTTTTTTTTCCCTTGGTGCCAGAGGTCAGAGGCTAAATTCAAGCGTTCAAAATATTTGCATTTATTTTAGAAATGTAGACCCTGGCTCCTCTTTAATTCTGTTGTCATGTAGAAATGGCCAGAAGGTGGTGCTATGGCTCTACCAAAAAAAACCCCAACTCATTAACTCTTTTGTGTACACATCCCCCATTTCAATTTCCTGCTTACTTTTCTTAAGCATATGTATTCTGACTGCCTTTTTATCCATTATAGTTCAGTATTGATTTTACTTGCTACATAAGTTAATATTTTATTTATATTTACTCATTTTTCAAAGCTTTGCAATATTTTTTGTACTGTTTTCTGACAAGAATTTAAAATTTAGGGGCGCCTGGGTGGCTCAGTTGGTTAAGCGACTGCCTTCGGCTCAGGTCGTGATGCTGGAGTCCCGGGATCGAGTCCCGCATCGAGTCCCGCATCGAGTCCCGCATCGAGTCCCGCATCGGGCTCCCTGCTCGGCGGGGAGTCTGCTTCTCTCTCTGACCTTCCCCCTCTCATGCTCTCTCTATCTCATTCTCGCTCTCAAATAAATAAATAAAATCTTTAAAAAAAAAAAAAAAGAATTTAAAATTTAGGGTTAATATAAGATGATGGATACTTAGAATATTTTCAGCTTTGTATTTTTTCATGTTTCTGTGTTTAATGATGCCTGATTATTTTTTGAGAAAAATTTTAAAGTTTTGATTTTGTTACATACAACTTTCCTATCATTTTGTAGAGAATTTATAGTTTATAAATTTTTCTTAAAATAATTTTTATAAGTGTTAAAATTTTTACTTTCAGATTTCGTATTTGCCATAACAACATATTTTCTGTTTCTCAATCATGTTCAACCATTTCTATTTCTTAATCATGTTTTAGCCCAAGATTTAAGAAAATACCAGATTTTCCAAAATGTAATAATTTAAAAACCCTTTCAACTTCTGTATATTTAATAGTATTGTTATTGTAATGAATTTCATTTTTAATAGTGTTTTACTTATTTTTATTTATACAACTAGTACAAATGTCAGAGGATACAATCTATTTTATAAACAGTTTGCTTGTGATGTTTACATGTGGATGAATATTGATATATAGATCCAAAACTTCTTAGTTTCCCTGGGAGATAAGCAGGGGAGCAGCATTCCTGGATCCCAGTTTTAGAGGAGAGATCCCTCACCCCAATACAGCTACATTAAAATCACGTGAAGCTCCCTCAGCAAAGGAGGCCTTGGGAATTGCCGCTGAGTTCTGTTAATGTTGGTCTTTTTCCATTCGACCTCACTCTCTCTGTGTAGCATAACACTGTTTTTGTGTTCATAACCAGTTATTTAATTAATAAAGTGTTTAGAGCTTAATTTAATTATATGCATACATACATACATAGCTGATTCCTAGGAATATGCTTAATTAAGTTAACAATTTGTAAGAGCCACAGAGGAAGAGTAGCTCTGAATATTTGACTCACAGTAATAAATTCATTGGTTTTCTTTCCTAATAATGTATATTCCCCCAGCAGTGTACTTAGATTTCATCTTTTTAAAGTCCTCTGAGAAATAAATAGAAATCGTGTGATTGTGCTATTGAAACCCAGTAGTGCTCTCTGTAAGAAATTTTCTTTAGCTGTTCTACTCACTAGTGACATATACTTAACTATGAATTTCTAGTAATACTTCATTTTTCCCCATCTTTTTATGGTGATCAAGGCTTGTTTCTGTTTGTTTGCTGTATCCAGATACCCTCCAGGATGCTTAGGCTTTACCCCCTTTGAATAATTTTTATTGGATTATCATATACAAATTGTGATGGTCGATCACTATCTAGACGACCCGAGAAATGAATCCACTGAGGCAAAAATGGAAAGAAATTCGCAAAAAAGGCTCTTCAAGCATTAACATTCAAGTAGTAAATAGGGAGACAAAAGAATATAATGTAAGTAAGAATGACAAGCAGTCTTCAACATGTGAATTAGAAGTATTTTGAACACAGTTAAGAGGTCTATCAGACTTTGAGTTAGCAAAACACACTGAGTTGGAGGGGACATGCAAACTATAATGCAGTAACTTCGATTTCAGAAAAAACATGGACAGGAGTGAGAATATTCTGTTTAAAATACAGATTGAGCAAATATAACCTTAGGCATCATTGTTTGCAACCACTGTGCGACAGTCAAAGCCAATAGCCATTATAAGCCTTGATATACATGAAAGTAAAACTGGGAAGTTTGCTATTGTTGTTATTTTTAATGTAGAAAATGTGTTGTGCAGAAGAAAAGAGTTATTTAGTGCGTAGGTGCAAAACTAGATTCTCAGCCTGACTGCTACAAGCCCATTTTAGGACCAGGGTATTGGATGCGATGACCTATAAATCTTTTTTGAGCACAATTACTTCATCTTGATAAGAAGCAGGGAAAAAGATCTCAAAGCCCCTACATCAGATATTTTGTTCCTTTTTCTTTATCTCATTATTTTGTTTTCATTTTCCTCCCTCCTTCCTCTCCTATTTGTTTTGTTTTGTTTTCTTCCTCTGTCTATAGCCCCCACTTTTTCCTTTTTTTTTCCATTTCTTACATGACTTCTTCTTTTCTTTTTCGTGGCAGGAAAGAAGTTACTCAATGAGGTTTAGTATTAGTGGTTGTTCTGTGACAGACTTTGGGAAACTAGAAGAGGTCGCAGGAATGGTGGTGGCCAGATGTGGAAAAACAAGAGCCACTGCTCAGTGTCTTGTTTCTGGAAGAGAGCAGCATCCAGGAGGCCAGCTTAGCCTGCTGCTGCAGCCCGTGATGGGAATGGCTGTGCTCAGATGCATTCACAGAGACAGATAGAAGCCGCTGATTTATTTTGTAAGCCTTCATATGTGAAAACCCCCAAATTGTTTTAATTATGCCAATACAGGAAGGAGATTCTGAAGGGAAAATAAACAAACTGAATCTTACTTTCTTTGGGAGAGAGTTGGAATAATTTTTAAAGATCTGAAACAAAACATGTTTCTTGAAGACATACAAAAAATTATCTGGCACAAATTCGTCCAGTTCATGTGCAGAATCTAAGACTTCTGGATGCAAAATGAGAGCTGCCTGCATTCATCGAACAGGACAGATAGCAAGCTAAAAAATTATACCTCCCAAAATGAAATAAATTGTACTCCCCCACCCCAGGATACCAAGGCGGACACTTCAAGGCATTTGTGTATGCATTAATTATATTATTCTGAGGGCAGTGCAAAGCCATGAAAAGACAAAAGGGCTTTTAACCACTCTGTGCTTTAGGACTGAACTATAACATGTGTACTCACATCTGTCCTAAATTAGAGAGAAATGCACAATGCCAATAAATATGACATACGAAAGAGGACTGAAACCCCACCCTGCCTGACATATAATCTATTTTGAGTCAAGTGAGGATGATCCATATGCTGAAAAAACATTATAATAGTAGGGAAATAATATTTTGAGGCCCTAGAAGAGGAGTAAAATATCTTATTTTTTCCATAGTCCTTCCCCCCCCTCCCCCATTTCTTAAAAAGAAAGGTAGGAGGATGGTAGAAAGAAGTAAAGTAGGGACAGAGCAGCATTGACAGTAGCATTGCCAAAATCAGGACGCTTGGTCAACTTTGAACTTCAGATAAACAATGAATAATATTTTAGTGTAAGTATGTGTCCCAAATATTGCATGGGACATACTACACTAACTAGCATGTATGCATTATATGTGTGTACACATATATACGGAGTGTAGATGTGTATTCTAAAATAAAAGTTTTAAGTCTTCATTTAATATTCAAATTTAACTGGGCTCCTGTAATTTTTTCCACCACTAAATCTGGCAATGAGGGGAGAGAGGCAGAAACTCCCATTTGGAAAGTGCACGAATGTTGGGATTTTCTTTTTTATTTTATAAAAAAACCTAACAGGCATTTGCATACACTTACCAATTCAATAAGAAGTTACAATAAATATTACTATGAAAACGGTGGAAAAATGTTTAGGTTTTTAAGATACTCGTAATTCTAGAATGAGTCTAGGTCTTAGTCTTTTAGCTGGGATAATTATTTCAGTTCTTAACTTCAATTTAAATATGGTAATCTGTCTCTTTTCATTCATTGATTTGATTGGGTAGGATGGCATTACCAAATGAAGTAAGTATCTAGAAATGACAAAGATGGTATATCTAACACTGGGGAACTGTAAGTTCTCTAAAGGTATTAAAAACAAAAGATCCACCCGCAAAGTTTGCATTTTCTTGATAGTTAGTATGACTATAATTGTTGAAATATAATGGAAGAAGTATTAAAATTTTTTAAAAGGTTATTGAATATCTGAATTTAATGCTAGTAATGGTAGATTGCTCTGATTACTAAATATTTTGAAGCTATTCAGGGTTTATAAAATACTTTGTAATGGATAATAATTTATTTAATGGAAGTCCAGCACTGAATACAAACTCCAAATATATATTATATATATGTATACACACACACATCTAATTATATATGTGTGTGTGTGTTCGTTTTCCATGGAAACAGAATTATAGTTTTCTGAATAACTTTTCATTTGTAGTTCGCAAGACATATCAAGAAATCCGAAGGCCAGAAAATTCCTAAAGTTGAGCTGCAAATATCAATATATGGAGTAAAAATTCTAGAACCGAAAACAAAGGTAAGTCTTCTTTTTGAATGTCAGAAGCACTCTAATCTTTCATTCATTGAGGTTATGTTCCTATTTCAATAAATAAGATTGGTTACCAACTGGAACTGGTTAGTTCTCAGTTAATGACGATTCAAAATTCTGTAGAATTTTTAGGAGGAAAAACAACTTTTGGGAGTGCTTCCAGAGAGGTCTGTGTTTGGGATAGAAGTGTATTTAATAGTGTTTGGTCTCGTTTTCAGGAATTTTTCTTTGTGTGCTGTGAAAGAGATTTGTGAAGTGTGGTTCCCTGAGAGGAGACAAAAGCTGTGTGTTGTTTATTAAAATGTTCGGGACTGCCTCTTATTGCCTGGAGACATAATCAGTGCGTATTAGTTCACCTAGGCTGCCATGATAAAATACCACAGACATGGTGGCTCAAAGAACAGAAATTTATTTTCTCACAGTCCTGGAGGCTGGAAATCTGAGACTACGCTGACAGTGGTCTTGGTGTCCTCTGAGGCCTCTCTCCTTGGCTTGCCGATGGCAGCCCTTTTGCTGCCTCTTCACATGGTTGTCTGTGCACACACACCCCTGGTGTCTCTGTGTGTGTCCAATCTCCTTTCCTTATTAGAACACCAGTCAGATTGGATAAGGGACCATCCTAATGGGCTCACTTTAATGTCATCAGCACTTTCAAACCTTATCTTCAAATACAGTCCCATTCTGAGGTGTGGGAGGGGTGGTAAGGCTTCAGCATTATGCATTCTGGGGCAGCATAATTCAGCCCATAATGCATTGTGAACTTCAAGTTCTTGTATTTAAGAGCCCTTTCCCCTACAAATCCAATGAAAAAATTTTAAATATAACCCATTCTGGATTCACATTCATTAATATGGATTTGTTATGGACTTCACTGTTTTTACCCAAAATTCTCTAAGCCCCAATGGGACCGTACTTGGAGGTAATTATGGTTACATGTGGTCTTAATGAGGCCTTCCTCTACCAAAACTGGTGTTCTGATAAAGAAAGAAAGACATCAGGGATGTGCAAGCACAGAGGAGAGGCCATGTGAGGACACAGTGAGAAGGCAGCCGTTGGCAACCACGCTGAAATACGACTAAATGCAGAGGATAGAGAGAACTTCTTTAGTGTTTAGAATTGACCAACACTAATATGTGCTGGGTGTATGTGTATATGTGTGTGTGTGTATAAAAAAGAGGCAGAGAGCTGGATCATGGGACTGCAAATACAGCTCAGTGTTATCAGTTGGTGATTCTGAAGTCCCCCATAATAAGTCTTCCATAATAGTAGGCTGCCCGTTGACAGCTGTCAACCATATCACTCTGTTCTCTAAACTTTGACTACCAAATGTAACTTCCTCCCCGATCCTAAACCCCGTGTACAAAACCTCAGTGAGGTGGGATTCAACTCAAGATGATTAACCAGTTGAGTTTTGAGCATTACATCTTTGTCTTACCCAAATCAGTAACACAAAAGCTTTTCCTCCCTGTCCCAAGGTCTCAGTTTCCTAGACTTAATAGCTAATTTTCAAGAGACCCAATTGAATTTTTCCCTAAAAACATAAGTTTTCCAAGCTTTCAATAGGAAAAAAAAAAATCTCTTTTCATCCCTACCAAATCGAAAAGCAGTCTTAGAGTTTTAAAATCTTTGAAATGTCTTATTAATTCAATTATATTACATTTGAATAAAGAGCAACTGACTCTTTACCCATATATTACATATGAACATAGAGTATCTGAACTCTTCATGCATATATAGAATGTACCGTTTTTTGAATCCACTAACAAAAATAACCTAAAAAAGGTTTTACCAGCTCTGCTGAGCATCAGGACCCCAAGGAGATTCCCGGGAATGCTGATTGCTGGAGTCCCCTCAGGACTTTCAGATTCAGAATCTGCCGAACAAGACTTAGCATCTATATCATAAAAAACAAAACCAAAAACACCACCCCATGTGACTCTGATACAGCCTGTTCACAGATACGCATTTAGGAACCACTATTTGGGGAGATCTAAGTGAATCAGAACAAAATCTGTCATTCATTTTATTTTGGTTTGTTTATTTAGTCATAATGAAAAAAATACTGTGTTCCTAAAATAAATTTATTTATAGTAAAATGTACGTGTATGAGGCAGGATTTAAAAATGTATCATTAATCTAACATGGACTTCATAGAAAATAGACTATTTTTCTATGCCATTTGGATGGACGAAAACAGAAGTGAAAAGCAATCTCAATTGGCTCCAATATCTTTCGTTCTGTGTCTTTTTCCCTTTCTTCTTTTCTCACTTGTCCTTCAAAATAAGATTATGCAGTGGTGGAAAGAGGTGGTATAAGTGAATTGGGGATTTACTTATTCTTTGTTCCAACTCCAATAAAATATGGTCAGTGTTAAAGTATAATTATTTTTCACTGTGCTTGTGTTCCCAAGTCTATCCTGTCTCATCAAAAATTAGGGCTACATTTAAAATTCAGAAGGATTTATCACAACAACAAAACATTCACAAAAAATAATAGTTATGAGTTTTAGCTTCCTAGTCTTCTTTTGTAGGAAGATGCCTCTGCTAATCTAAACAAAAATTAAAATGATTCCCAACTGTCATTACCAAAGACTTTCTGTAATCATACTGGTTGATGAGTGAACGAGGGCCTGTGTACATTTTACCACCAGCCTATGTAAGTGGTATGTTTTCATGTTACTTGTAGTTTCTCCTACAAATGGAAAAAAATGAATCATTTTTCTATATTATGTAGTAATGACATTTCCTCTGTATATAATTAAAATGATTATGCAGTTAATAAACTGGTGTATACCTGCTGTCAGTATTTGGGAGCTTCAGTGTGGCTGAATGGTATTGTTTGATTGACTGTATTAACTTTAACACACACAAAAAAAATGTCAGCAAGGGAAAGACTGGTCAATCAAAGTATAGGAGAGGGATAGTCTCAGACAAATGTGGCCATTGTCCATCTTAGCACTAACCACAAGAAAAGGAAAATGTTCTCCTCAGATGCCTCAGTAAGTTGAGCCCCTCTTTTTGACTTGACATTGTTCCTTCCTGCTGTTGAAATGGGTGGATCAAGCTATCTAGTAATGACAAAAATGTTACAGTCATATAGTATACCTCCTCATTCTAATTTCCATGTTTGCCTTTGATGACTTACGTTTGGTTTGTATGCAGGGAAAGAATACAGTACTATAAACAAATTCTCTTAACATTTATCTGTATATCTTATATATTAATTTTCAGTCTGATGAGCAGTAATGTGAAATCTGAGTGATAGATCAAATCTCATCAAACTGACACATCGAACCCTGAACTTGGAAAGGTGTAGTAACAGATGCTGTAGTTATAGAATATATACATAGTGTGTGTGTGTGTGTATCATATGTATATACAATATATATGTACATATATGAAAAATATAAAATTATAACTGTGTGTGTATATATATATATATATATATATAGTTACAGTATTTATCTTTCTGATTAGTAGGGTTGATTAAGTAATTTAGATGCTTGACATGTAGACCTTCAAAATGAAGACATGTAAAATACAATTTAATATGAAAACTAAGGTTGAAATGGTAGTATGTTTCATAGGAAATCATGTGAAGATGAATTTATGTTTCAAACTGTAATGCTAGTGAGGAGAAGTAAGATAAAATGAAAACGGTCTGGTAAAAAAGGGTTCTGCTAATTCTGTAACCTTGTGGAAATATCAATTCTCGGGGCCTCGATGTTCTTCTAAGTAAAATTTCAGGGTTTAAAGTAGTTGTCTCTTAAGATCCCTTGCAATTCAGAAAGTCCACACACCTCTGATCCTCTCGTATTTTGCTTGTGTTTCTCTAAGTCCTATTGAGATGACTACTATAGTTTAATCTGAGTCGGGAGATCCATCTCCATTACGTATTTGTTTAAGTTTGGGTGTATGTAATTATAAACCGAAGTTTGACAGGTGATTGTTTCACTTTTAAAGTCATAAGTTGTATGTTATTAACACAAGCTGGTATTTCAGAAAATGGACAAAAATCTCTTCGACTCTATTTCCATTTGTGTTCACAGGAAGTCCAACACAATTGCCAGCTTCATAGAATATCATTTTGTGCAGATGACAAAACTGACAAGAGGATATTCACTTTCATATGCAAAGATTCTGAGTCAAATAAACATTTGTGCTATGTATTTGACAGCGAAAAGTGTGTAAGTATGCCAGATGTTTTAGGGTGGTTTGTTCTGTTTTACAAGCCAGGAATTGTCTTGTTTCCGGCATTAGTAAAGTATTTGGAAAGGAATAAGGTCTGCAAATCCCTAACTACACTAATAGATTCATCCTGTCATGAGAATGTGCTTCAGGATTTCTTCCCTAACTGAATTCTCATGTTCATGGGCATAAAGCTTGCATGCAAATTTCTCTCCTTAGAATGTCATGCCTGCTTATGTTATGCATTTATTTCTTTTATAATCATATATTTGTAATTTTAATCTCAAATATGACTTAGTAATCACATAATACAAAGAGTAATGGTGAGCAGAGTATTTCTTTTTTTCTAGAATGCGATGGATATGATAAAAATAAATATTTTAAACTCCAGGAAATAAAATCTGTATGGCTCCTTTAAAAAATCTCCAGTACTTTGAAAAGCTGGTTCTTGATTTTCATTATTCAGAAAACTTAATATAATGAAAGGTAATAGAATTGTATGTGCATGAGTGTTGCCTGCATGCATGTGTGTTAGCTTGCAAATGTAATCTAAAGTTCTCAGCAAGTAAGATCAATTAGGGAATTCTAAAGTTATGTCCTGTAATAGTTCTTTTAATCATCTGGAATCTTCAGAAAACCCTACATCTTGATTATAAGCATAAGCTAATGTTAATCATAACCTAGTCTGACGTCCTATTATAAAACATAAGGTATGAATTCCAAGCACACATTGCAGCCATTAATGGCTTTAATGAAGGAAGAGCATCTAACCTCAACAACATTATTGGCTTAGATGGGAAAAAGAACTTAATTCATTTTTTTTCCTTATTTTTCTGCTGTTAAAAATAGCAAAAGATTAATATTATTATCACTCTTACATAATTTATTCCTCTCCTTCCAGTATGTGAGCTTCTTTTTTTTTTTTTAAATAAAGATTTATTTATTTATTTTTTGAGAGAGAGAGTGCATGAGCAGGGGAGGGGCAGAGAGAGAAGCAGACTTCGCACTGAGTCAAAGCCTAGTACAGGGTTGATCTCACAACCCTGAGATCATGAACTGAGCCAAAACCAAGAGTTGGGCACTTAACTGACTGAGCCACCCAGGCGCCCCAGTATGTGAGCCTCTTGAAAGCAAATTACCTTTTTGATTTGTCCATGTAACTCCTACATTAGGTGAACAATAGATGCTCAATGAATTTTTCCTTATAGAAAAAAGGACCATATAGAAAAATTTACAAAGAGCAAGTTAGTATATGTATCTTTTAAGCTATAATGCTCTAAAAATACAAACTAATGTGCTAAGCTCTTGATATCATAGTACTTTTTTGAGGATTTGATGAACATTATGGAACATCTCATCAGAAAAATATGCTCACCCATATGACAATATATGTACAATAAGGTATTTATTTATTTATTTATTAAAGATTTTATTTATTTGAGAGAGAGTGAGCGAGCGAGAGAGCAGGAGCGGGGGAGGGGCAGAAGGAGAGGGAGAAGCAGATTCCCCACTGAGCAGGAAGCCTGGATGCAGGGCTCAATCCTGGGACCCTGGGATCATGCCTTGAGCCGAAGGCAGATGCTTAACTGAATGAGCCACCTAGGTGCCCCTATAAGACATTTTATATAAAGTTCTAGTTGTTTTTGAAATTTATCCTATTAGTGAATGCATTATATTTAATATTCCAAGTGTTTCTTAACCATGATCATTTGCAGATGTTTTTCTCTATGTGATTGAGAATATGAAAGTTGATATTTGTTGAATATCTTTTATGTGTAAGATATAATAACCTTTTACCACTTATACCAGGCAATAAACTCAGTTGTCCTTCTTTCTTGCTTTACACATAGAAATAAATGGCCTTGGGGTCCTTTGAAATACTCAGAATTCATTATAAATATTAGCCTTGTTATATTTTTGTGTCACGTGTTTTTATTTGATCTCCATCCAAATTTATTGGATTATTTAAAACATAAGCTTGTCAGAGTCCCTGCATAGTTATATTATTTCAAAAGTATAAACTCTGTTTTACCCTAATCGTTAATTGTTAGTAGTTGATTTCAAGAATTTAAATTCCTTGACCCATTATTCTCTTTGGATATAGCATATTAGCTGTTTTTTTCTTGAGTGTTGAAAATAATTTCTTGAAGCCTAAAGCAGTGGTTCACAACTATTAGTGTATATAATGTTCATAAAGAGGGCTCTTTGGTTTTTACTTCAAAAAATAAGCTCATACTTATTGGGGCTTGATCTCAGGAAATCTGTATTTAACAAGTTCACCAAGTGATTCTGCTGCAGGTATATGGAAGTCTGGCCTTTGAAAAGAGGTCCAAGTTACTTCTTCAGCTATAAGCATGCATGACTTTCATGAGCTCAAAGAGGCTATGTTTCCTCAAAATTTTATTATATCATTTCACCTCAAAGTTTTATTTGTTCTAATTATAATAAGGACTATATTTATAAAATTGATTTGATATGTATATAGAACTTTTGACATGCCATCCTAATCTTGAATTCTCATTTTAAGTAGCTTATCATGGAGGATTAAAACAGGAAAATAAATAATGGCCCAATTGGCAAAACTCTTTCCTCTTTATAAAACCAAGGCCAGGAAAGTTGAGTAAGTTTATCAGTTTACAAAGCTAGATAGTAACAGAATCAGGATTAAAAATTTAAGACCTTAGATTACCATTGTAGCATTGGTTCCATCATGCTATATTACTTTTGTAACTGTGACCTGTTCCAGAGCCCATCCACTCTTACTGGGGCCTTTGTCTTATCTACTCATTGTATCTTTTTCAGTGCTTCTGTGAAATTGTTGAAAGCTTGAAAGATTGATAAAACCAATCATAGTATGTCACAAGACTGGAAATTCACTACTTTATAAACAGTTTCATGTTGTATTAATGAGTCTCCCTCCCTCCATGGTGACAGTGAGGAGCTAGAGTACCCAGCCCTGCCAAGCAGTAATGAAGAGAGGCCAAATGTGGAAGCTGAACCTCTACCCCACCAGGGAGTAATGAGGTAGTGCTCTCCATTCCCATTCCCCTACTGGAGTGGTGTCATAGTAAGCCACTAAAACACACAGTGTAAATAATTTCTAGAGTCTTTAATATCTAAAATATCCAAGATTTGATTGAAAATCACTCATCATATAAAGAAACAGGAACAGGTTAAACTAAATGAAAAAAGATGACCAGTAGATTCCAACACTGAGATGACAGAGATACTAGAATTACCAAAGATTTTTAAACAGCCATCATAAAAAGAATGGTAAAATAAACAATTACAAGCACTCTTAAACAGCCATCATAAAAAGAATGGTAAAATAAACAATTACTAGCATTCTTGAGACAAATTGAAAAGTACAAAATTTTATCAAAGAAATAGAAAATCTAAACAAAGAAATAGAAGATATAAGAAAAAGCCACTAGGAATATTAGAACTGAAAAATTACAATAACCAACTGAAAACTCAGTATCTGGGCTCAGTGGCAGAATGGAGAGGACAGAGGAAAGAATTAGTGACCTGGAAAAAGGAGAGATTACAAAATTTAATTTAATTTAGCCAATTTAAACAGCACAGAGATATTAGGCATATGCATGCACACACATGTATACAGACACACAACACATACACACTGCAGGCACACACACACAATAATATAAAAAGAGAACAGGACTTCAGGGATCTCTGAGTCTGTAACAAAATAGGTAACATTTATGTGTCATCAGAGTCCTGGAAAGATAGAAAAAAGAAGAAAAAGAAAACAGCCTTGAAGAAACACTTGAAGAAATGATAGTTGCAAACTTCCCAATTTTGACAAAAGGCATAAACCCATAGATTCAAGAAATCGAGTGAACTCCAAACAGGATAAACCCAAACAGTTCCACACCAAGATACATCATAGTTAAACTTCTGAAAACGAAAGACAAAGAAAAATCTTGAAGACATAGGACATAAGTCCTAGAGCAGAAAATCAATTTGAAAGACAGTGTATTTCTCATTAGAAACCATGAAGGCAAGAGGAAGTAGCACAATATATTTTGAGTGTTTGTGGCCAGGATGAGGGGAGAACTGTCCAGAATCCTATAGCCAGAAAAAACATATACTTCAGTAATTAAGGAGAAATTGAAAAATTATCAGACGTGGGAAAACTAAGGTAATTTGATTCTACCAGACCTACCCTAAATGAATGGCTAAAGGAAGTTCTCTAAATAGAAAAGAAACAATAAAAGAAGGAACCTTGGAACATGAGGAAGGAAAAAAGAACAGGATAAGCAAACATATGGGTAAATCTTTACTCTCTAAATTGTTATTTAAAATAGAAAATACCAACAGCGTTTTTCACAGAACTAGAATTTTTCAATGGTCTTAAAATGTGTATAGAACCATAAAAGACCCTGAATAGCCAAAGCAACCTTGAAAAAGAAAAGCAAAACTGGAGCCATCACAATTCTGACTTAAAGTTATATTACAAAGCTGTAGTGATCATAACAGTATGGAACTGGCACAAAAATAGACACATAGGTTAGTGGAACAGAATAGAAAACCTAGAAACAAGCTGACAATTATATGGTCAATTAATCTTTGACAAAGCCGGAAAGAATATCCAATGGGAAAAAGACAAACTCTTCAAATGGAACAGGAACACTGGACAGCAGCATGCAAAAGAATGAAATTGAATCATTTTCTTATACCACAATATAAATTCAAAATGGATGAAAGACCTAAATGTGAGAGAGGAAACCATCAAAATTCTAGAGGAGAACACAGGTGGTAACCTCTTTGACTTTAGCTATACCAACTTCTTTCTAGATATGTCTCCTGAGACAAGGGAAACAAAAGCAAAAATAAACTATTGGGACTTCATCAAAACAAAAAAGCTCTTCACAGCAAAGGAAACAACAAAACTAAAAGGCAACCTACAGAATGGGAGAAAATGTTTGCAAATGACATATCTGATCCAAAATATATAAAGAACTTATAAAACTCAACA